ATGCGTAACTGTATTTTTGTAACAAGAGTTAGTTTCTGTCCCTCTCTAGACTAGACAAGAAGTTTTACTTCTCTTTGCTCTTCCTTCACTTTCAATATTCATATTATCCAGAAGTTTGCTTGTAAATTTTTATGGACTTTTAAATAAATGAATTGTTAGTTCTTTTATTCATGATTAATTAATGTACTGTATTCTTTGATTACAAATGTATCTGCCATTCCACCCCTTTCTCCTGTGTTCACTGTCCTTCAGCTAGAGTATACTCCATATTATTTCTTTAGGAGACTATCTGTGGGTGCTAAATTTTCTGAGACTTGAATGTCTGTGGTTGTTTTTATTTCTTCAGAAGTAGTTTGGTGGGGGTAATATTGTATTTCCACTCCACTCCATTGTATCTGGCATTGCTGATGAAAAATCTGATGCATGTCTGAATTTTTCTGTAGATAATCTGTCTTTTTCTGAGTAACTTTTAGTGTTTTTTATGTTATAGGGGTTCTGAAATTTCACTGTGTCTATAGGTTGAAGTTAAAAAATATATTATTTTGAGTACTTGGACACTTAGTGGTTGTGGTGGTGGTACTCATTCTGCCTGAGAATATTTTTCTTTAGTTCTGGAAGATTCTTGTTGATAATTTCCTCAAACATTGCCTCCCTTCCATTATATTTTCTTAGAACAATAAAATTCTATTTACTACCCTTTAACCCTATGTTCTCTTATGATTATTTATTTTTCTAATATCTTGCTGTATACTCCACAATACATTGTTATTTTGACTTTAAATGATTAAAAGTATTTTAAAGAAATTTATATATACATGCCCACATATTTTATATTGTTTGATTTACTAAAATATTTTTCCTTTCTGGAGCTCATTTCTTTCCACAGAACCAAGTTTTCATCTGATGTAATTTCTCTTTATGTTGCAAAACTTCTTTTAGTATTTTGTCCAGTGCAGATCTACCACAGACAAATTCTTTCAACATTATCTGAAAATGTCTTTAATTCCCTTTTAGTTTTGAAAGATAAATTCGCTTCATATAAAATTCTTTTTCTGAAAAATTATTAATTTATTATTGTTTTAATTTGCTATAGGTCATGTGCACTTACCAGAAAGGGAGAAGAGAAGAGAGAGAATGCAAGTCATTAGGTCTGGAACTTGAACCACAGTCAGTCACTATGAGTCCAGTACCTTACCTATCATGCCACCTGCTGGCCCCTGGATATAGACTTCTACGTTGACAGGTTTTCCTTGTTTTTTGTTTGTTTCCTTCAGCATGTAAGATGTCATACCGATGTCTTCTGACCACCATTTTTGATGAGAAGTAAGCTGTCACTCTTATCATAGTTTCCCTGTATGAGATATGTCCTCCCTCCCATCCTTCTCAGTCCCCATATGCTTTCAAAAACTTCTATTTTTCTTTTATTTTGTTTGTTTTCTCAGAAGTTTGAATATAATATGTTTAAGTGTGGACTTCTTTGTTTTTATATCACTTGGAATTTTCTGATATTGTATTTGTGAGTTGGTATCTTTCAATAGTTTTGGAAAAGTCTCAGACATTATCGCTTAAAATATTTATTTCGTTCCATTCTACCTTTTTCTTCTGGAATCCTAATTTTACATGGGTTGTCTATTATATATGTTGCAAATACTTTCCTCCAGACTACATATAACTTGTCTTTCAATAATTTTTGCCCTATATTTTTTCCATTTTATGTATAAATTTGATGATTTTATGTGGATGCTCCAGAATGAGAACATATAGCTTTATAGTAACCCCACACACCCAGTTCAGGTTTGTGTACATCAAATACGTAAAGTTGAGTAATGTACATATGTAATTGTTAACTTTAAAATAACTCAACAGTTGAGATATGAACATAACACGCTATATTGATGATGTATTGAAGGTAGATTTAGTTTGGGATTTTTTTGATAACTATTAAAAATATTTATTCATATATATATATATATATATATATATATATATATATATATATATATGTGTGTGTGTGTGTGTGTGTGTGTGTGTGTGTGTGTTCTCCTCTCAGGATCTTGGGCACACACGCACACGAGCCCGGTGTGAGTTTTAAGCCACTGGGTCCGGGACGTGAACCGCGGTCAACTATGTGGGAGTCCAACGACATAGCCATTACGCTAACTGCTGGTTCCCGAGTGCAAGATTTTGTTTAAAAAAATTCTTTTTCTAAAAATATTGAAAAACCACTGGTCTAGATAATACCTTGGGAGTAGTCATATTTTTCCTAATAGTACTTATGTGGAAGTCTGTTTTAATTGTTTGGATTTTTGTTTTGTTTTGTTTCAATTAAAGAATCACTCTTCTCCAGCTACCTCTCTGTGAGAGAAACCTCGTTCAATACCCCCAGTGGTTTACTAGTGACATAAAAATTTTATGCTCTAAATTTGTAGACTATTTCTCTGGCCTAAGAAGCAAGCTGGAGCTCCTGTGGAAGGTTCTTTGTATTGCTTTGTTTTCTAGGTGTAACAGAGGTCTCATGAGATTGTGTCTTATTTAAAATGACAACACTTTTAAAAATCTACTTAATAGTGGGACCAGCAGTTGGCGTAATAGCTATGTCGCTGGACTTCCATGTAGTAGACACTCGGTTCGAGTCCTGGACCTGGTGGCTTAAACTCACTCTGGGCGTGTATGTGTGTGTGCCCAAGAACCCGAGAGGAGAATGGAGGAGAAGGGATTGTGGCGTGACCATCCCCCTTGGGGGGTGATTTCTTGCTTTCTGTATCTCTGTCTCTCTCTATCTTTCTGGTGAGTGCACACACCCTATAGCAAAAACCTCTGCAAAAATACTTACTAGTAACACAACACTAGCTATATTTCTGGATAGAACAGGGAACTTCCCAAATTTTAATAAACATATAAATGAGTATTTATTGAAATAAGTTGAAGTAAAATGGCCCTTTTAGTAGTGTTGGATACTTATAATACTTTATAGACCATTTTATTAAGACCCATGCTTTGATGACATGGTTTTAACAAATGTAGCAGGTGCCTATTCAGGGTGCCTCTAGTTTCTATTAATCTTTTATGGTATTGATTTGGTTATGTGGTTTTAGACCAGAATAAGAACTGTTATCTAAGACTATTTAATGTTTGGCCCAAATTTTACAAAACCACATCACTTCTATACCTTGGAGTGAAGCAGACACTCAGATCTGACACTGCTGCAAGTAACTTGGATCAAAGTATTGATCAGCAATGGATATGTTGTTTTCCAGTAGGAGGATACAGCTAGAGAAGCCCATCTATTGCCTCTATCAGTCATCCCACCGAAAAGCAATTGGGCTAATGATACCAACTTATAATTGTCTATTTTAGCTAGAAAGTAAATAACAACTCATCATATTGTCATGGCATCTGTTAAAGGGATACTGTTAAGGATGGCAGGTTTTAAACTTGATGCACTTCTTGTCTCATGTATTTTATTTAAAAAAGAAAAAGAGAAACACAAACTACTGCCCCACCCCCGACCCCTCGGGGGAGGGAATCTTCCATGGGAGCTCCAGCTTGTTTGTTAGGCCAGAGAAATAGCTCACCAGAGAGTGACCAACAGGGAGAAAAGCACCCTTTAACAGGGCTTGGCCTTATCACAATCTCCTCTCCTCCATTTCCCCATCCTGTCAGGATTTGGGGCATGCATGCATATGCACATGCACCTGGAATTTGATCCCTGTGGAATCCAGCTGCCTCAACTACCAGGCAACAGGGCCAGCCCAAGAAACTAAAGCTAATCTTTTCTTAAATGGAAAGAAAAGAAGATCCTCATTTTCTTTTTTTGATCTCAAAGAGCACATATTTTGGCATTTGATCAGAATTTTGTTTTGACTACCTAATCCTAACTAGTATAAAAGTTCTATGTCCTTAGCTATGTTGTACAGAATTAATTAGAGGCTAATCAGTGTCCTTGACTCCATAAATTGGAATCATGAAATTGTAGGCAACCTGAGCAGATCCTTGAAATCTTATCATCCAGAGTTGTAAACCTGTAGCTTATAGGCTAAATCTGACATAGATAATGTTTAGTTTGGTTTACAGAGTTTTTATGTCTTGGGGATAACATTAGTAAAATGTACTTGGCACTTATTGTGTGTATTTTCCTAGCACCTTTAGATGTGCTGTACAATCCTGATGATAATCTTATGAGGCATTAGTATTATCTTTATTTTACAAGTAAGAAAACCAAGGTATACAGATGTTAAAGAATGGTCTCAAGATTAAAGTTAGTGAGAGGTTGACCTGGGATTTGAACTCAGTCAATTTAGCTTCAGAACTGACTTTCCTAAATGCTGCAAGAAGTTATTTGACTTGCCTATTTTTATAAAAAAAAGTGAACAAATTTCATATGATCCTAGAGATGATAAGTCTATGCCCTGTGTGTGTTGAGGGAGGGGGTGCATTTTTCTTTCTTTCTTTTTTTTTTAGACACTTGTTGCCTCAGCCTCTGAGTAGCTGGGACTAGAGGGACACATCATCATGTAGTCTTTTGTGCTTTCCATTTGATAGGATGCTTGCTTTATGTTTGCTTTTGACTTTGCCTTTTTCTATTCAGGCCCTGAAGCAAGGCAATGTCAGGAGTGGGACAAGTGTCCACGTATCTCAGTTCTCCCTGACCATCTTATGACTATCTCCAGTTTTATAGGCCTTGGACAGAGATTTTTATACATTATTATTTTTCTGGTTTGTGTTGTTAAAATGGGAGAGAAAGAGGAACTGAATATTACACTGGTTATGAAAAATCTTCATTGTCAAATCTACTGGATGGAAGAATTGCTAATTAAGAATCCTCTAATTAGCCTTAAGTGAAAAATTGTATGACTTCAAAGCAGCTGCCAGGATCCAACTACAAATGACACCATCTTCAAAGAATCTATAATGCTGTATTTATTATATAATATGTACATGTTGGGCGTGAATATTATTGCTTTTATTTTTTCCTTTTTGTTGTTTTCTTTTTTTATATATGTGGGCAAAAGTGTGAACGTAGTCCCCCACTACCACACATTATGCAGTTAAGTTTCCCGCATTTGGGGAAATCCCAGAGGTCAGCACATCCAGAGTGCAGTAGATAAGCCTCGCCCTGGGAAAACCATCTTCATGATCATGGTACCTCCCCTACCACGTATTATAGCTTTCTTTCTAAAGTGTACAGTTTATAAGGACGAGGAGAGAAACTACTTTCAGTTTTGATTAAAATAATGAGCAAGGCTAGGAAACTCATGTCAAGTCTCCAAATTGTATCCTTTATTGTGGATTTTTATGATTTTGTTGTCTGGTGGTATAAGACGGTAGTTTTAGTTCTAATTTTGGAACTGTGTAGATTCCACTTGGACTGTTGCCATGGTTCGACTCACATGTTTTGAGGCTTAACATTTCTGAGATTTCTTGAAGATTCAAAATGGGTTACATAGGCCTGTTGCCTTCATTATTAACCTTTTTTTTTTTTAAGGTTTTTATCATAGGATGTGTGTGCTCATTTGTGGTAGACTGAGGGAGACAGAGAAGGGAAGGGAGAAATCATTCCCCAGTGGGGATGGCCATGCCACAATCCCTTTTCTTACAATCTCCTCTTGGGATTTTGGGTATGCACATATGTGTGCCTGGCTGATTTTCAAACCGCTAGATGTGGGATTTGAACTACAGTTGGCCGTGTGAGAGTCCAGTGCCTAATCACAAGACCACCTGCTGGCCCTCATTATTAGCCTTTTTACTTGAGGGTTTGAAGTATGACACAGAGCTGGGTGCTTTACATGTATAAATAATAAATGTAATAATAGCTGGTCTCACTTACAATAGAAACGACAGAAAGTGCTCTGTGTGGATTTTTAAAAAAAACTTTACCAGAGGGTGCATGCACTCACTGGAGAGGAGAGAGAAAGAGAGAGAGAGAGAGAGAGAGAGAGAGAGAGAAGAGGAAGCAAGACAATATCCCCCATGAGGCATGGTCATGCCATAGTCCCTGCTCATCTGTTTCTCCCTCCTTCTGGGATTTTGGCTATGTACCCTGTGTGTTCTTCAAACTGTCAAATCTAGGACTTGAACAATGTGGTTTACCGTGTGGGAGCCACAGCCTTAACCTGGCCTGGGGATTGTTTTAGTGAATCTCATTTAACCAGTGTTTCCTGAACCAAACTTTGTTGACATATGAGGAAAATATTATTTGACATGATTCAATGTCCAAGGTAGGACAGCTCCAGAGTTGGTTTATTTGGAGACTTATCAATGTCTTAAGGATTCAGTTTCTTTCTATCACTTGCTGCTCTTCTCAGGATGGTTGGACTGATGCTCAAGGGCAATAGCCTGCAGTTCTAGACATCACATCCTGACTTGTGGCAATTTCCAATGGAAGGCAAAAAGTCATTGCTTTTTCTGTACATTTTTTTCCATTGAAGAAACCTTTCTAAAGTCTGCTCTTTCTAACACCCATTCCTTCATAATGGATTGGTCAAAATTGTGTCACTCATCCATTCCCTAGCCATTAACAGGCAAAGGAAATAGGGTTACCACTATGGGCATTGTATAGCATCAGATTGTGAGGAGGAGGATTAGCTAAACAAAATCAGGGTTCTACCAACAGAAAGAAAGGGGAATGCCCAATGAGTGGTTAGGAAATAAGCAGGGTATCCTGCAGCCATTTTGAGCTGGGTTCAGTTTTTATTGTAGCTGCCTTACCTCTGGGAATGATAGAAACCCTTCCCTAAGAAAGGAGGTCAAGTTCTATGATGCAGAACGGCCTAGTTGAATTTCTCAGGGCTGAAAACAGTAAGAATGCATCCTTCTAGCTGAGAAAAGGCTCAAAGGGTGGATTACCTCCTAACATGCCCAGAAGCTGGAACCCTATGTCCCTGGTAGTCCCTGAGGCTCCTTGGTCTGCCCAATGGCAGTGCCTATTGGAAAGTCATGGCTCCACAAGCTGGTGCCAAGAAAGAACTGAATTCATGCTGCCACTAGCCAATAAGCTTCCTTCTTCTTCTTCTTTTTTATTCTTAGAGAGATTTTTACTATCTAGTGTGTGTGCTTGTCAGAAAGACAGAGAGATAGAAAATGAAAAATTACCTTCCAGGGAGGATGGCCATGCTGCAATCTCTTCTCCTCCACTCTCCTGTCAGGATTTTGGGCAAGTATGCACACGCACCTGGAATGAGGTTTAAGCATCTGGGTCCAGGTCTGAAACTGTGGTCAATTATGTGGGAGTCCAATGATGTAACCATTATGCCATCTGCTGATCTCAGGCTTCTTTCTTAAAACCAAGGACAGTCATGGGTCTTTTCACTGTGCTTTGGTTACACATTTGCTCCTTTGAGATGTCCCATGAGGTAATTTACAATTAACATGATTTCATTCAGATTGAAATTAGTGAAGAACTCAATGATGAATGCTGCACCTCCACACTTTATGATTGGATCTCTCTCTTGCTCTCTCTTTCTTTCTCTTTAATTTGCCAGAGGATACATGAACTTTCCAGAGACAGAGATACACAGAGAAGGAGACAAAGAAAGCACCCCTCCTCCCCAATAGAGCATGATCATGCTCAATCCTTTCTCCTCCATCTCTCCTTCTTTTTGGGATTTTGGGCATCTATGTACATGTGCCTGATGTGTTTTTCAAGCCACCAGATTCAGAACTCAAATTATAAGGTCAGCCATGTGGGATCTAGCTCCTTTAACTAATAGGCCATGGATCTGGCCCCCATGAATAGATCTTTCTGCTGGAATAATCTAGACTTCTGCACAGCGAATCAGTGTTCATAGTTGGCTATGTATTCATATTGGAGTTTCTGAGTCTGAATTCTAACTCCACCACCTACTGGTTGAGGATGTGGTGAGTTACTTAATTTCTCTATATACCAATTTCCCAGCTTTTAAAATGTAGATATTAATAATAATAATACCTGTTTCACAGGTATAACCTGTGTGGATTAAATGAGAATATGCATACAAAATGTCTAGAATAGACCCAGACACATAGTAGGTCTCTATGAAGAATAACTATTAATATTATCATTAATAGGCCAGCCCCATGGCCTGGTGGTTAAAGAAGCTGGATCCCACATAGCCTATTCCACAGTTCAAGTCCTGGACCTTGTAGCTTGAAACACAGAATAGATAAGGGTGCGTGAATGCCCAAAGTCCTGAGAGGAGAGAGATGGAGGAGAAGGGATTATAGCATGACCATTCCCCAGGAAAGGAGAGTACTTTCTCCTCTCCTCTCCTCTTTTCTCCTCCTCTCCTCTCCTCATCTCTCTCTGGTGAGTACATGTACCCTCTCGCAGACAAAACAAAGATGGTGTTCCATACCAGACCAGCTAACACACTGCCATTAGTCAGAGTCAAGACCTAAAATCAGACAAATAGGTTCATTCTAATTCTAGTTTATCCTCAAAGCCTCAATTTTTTTCCCCTGAAAATAATGCCCTCTACATGTAAAAGGAGACCATTGTGAGAATTAAATAACATAGTACACCCAAGGCTTAATTAAATATAACTACTACTAATGATATTCCAGTTTCAGTGACAAGACTGTATATCCGCCAGGACTAACTGTATGTGTCCATGAGCTCTAGATTTGAGAGTACTCTTCTCACTTCCCTCTCAGCATCACAGGGGTGTTCTCCAAGGCCTCCAGAGATTGTGGAAGTTTGTTTAAACTTCTGATTTACAAACTGGCTGTCAGTTCCCTCCTCCCTCTGCTTCAAAGCTCTGGGTCTAATTGGGATGCAAATGTATCCCCAGGTAGCTGAGCACTGCTTCTGTCACCCTGAAGGCCCTTGGCTATCCAGGGAGGGACAGTGGGCAAAAAGAACCCCTCCCTAGGGCTCTCCATCTTTGTGGGGAGAAAATGATGATGATGTATGAGACAGCCATGCCTTTGGAGTCCAACGAGGACATGACAGATGAGATAATATGGGAGGCAAATACTGTCTTGGTAATGGAGACTGATGGCTTTAGCTTGTCGTCCTGGCATTGTTAGGGCTGGAGCTGAGCCCGGCCTTCTCCTGAAAAACTTCACCGGGTGGCAGGCTCAGTATGTAAGCCACACTGCCCTCAGTGGTAGCCTTCAACCAAGGCTGTGTGTTAGGAGAGACAAATGGAGAAGGCTTGAGGGGGCATTGAGTGGAAGCCCCATTTCCCCCTGGCTTTGACATTTTTGACATGCATGTTTGTCAAGAATGACTGGATTGGCTCTTTTTCTTTCTTTCTTTCTTTTTGGCTTCCGTCTTCCACCTTTAACTCCTCCCTACTCTCCTCCCTCCCAAAGTAACTATATTAAACCACAATTTTAAAACTTATAAAACAAAACAGAAAAATGAGCCGCACATCTTCACCAAACCCCTCTTGCTCCCCCCTTCAGCCCCTATTTGGCCCCAGGAAAGAAAGCTTAAAACTAGAGTAGGGATGTCATCTTTAGAAATCATCTTTTGGAGCAGTTTTATTAATTTCACTTCTCTGTGGTTACCACATGTTTGGGGAAGACAATTGATTTCACAGATCTGTGTGGGAGGCTGAAGATTTGGCTCTGAGGCAGCAGAGCAAACCTACCGCAAGAACAGGCTCCCTAATTGACACAAGGCAAAGACATTTTTTAAGGAAACTTTTTCCCTTAGTTAGTGCTTGCTTTTCCAAAATCTAATTATTAATTTTTAATTCAATTGTACTTTTTAAAAGAGTGGCTTGATTTTCCTCTCCTTCCATCGAAATACCCCTGCCTAACCCTCTTCCTGAGTTCCACTTAGGAAATGAAAAAGTAAACTGGACCAAGTGGTAAGTCACAACTTTGGCTTTAAAGACAATGCCAATGGCTGCCAGTGTCCAAAGCCAGGACTTCCACAGAATCGAGTATTGACTGTCCAGGAGAGAATTGAGGCTTCTGCTTCCTCTTTTGTATCAGATACCTCCAGTTGAAGTATTTTTGATCTGAGGAAGATCTCAGCAAGGTGGTGGGTGGGAGTCAGTCCATGAACCTTCATGGATTAGGCACAAGTCTACCTACAATTACTGCAGTCACCGGTACAGGACCTCATGGTGCTTTTTAAGGGGGAGCGCACTGTACAGCTGAATGCTTTGATATGTTAGCGTGAATGACTGCATCATCCAGATAGAAATCAGTTCTATTCTAAATAAATAATAAA